CCCTGAGTAAAGAAATCACTTGGCTTTAAAACAAAAAACATGTCGATGTCCTCTTTAACACCTTCCACATTTGCATACGTTTTCCCATTAAGATGGTGTTGCAGCGAACAAAAAGATGGTAATCTGATGGTGCCATATCTGGAGGATATGGTGGGTGGGGGAGAACTTCCCAACCCAACTCCATAATCTTGTATTGCGTCAAACGTGCCATATGTGGACGTGCATTGTCATGGAGAAGAAGAACACCTTTCCGATTGACGAGCTAAGGACGTTTCTGATGAAGGGCTTGATTTAAACGTTCCAGTTGCTGACTGTAGATCTCTCCATTGTCAGTTCCCTGTGGATTGAGGAGTTCGAAATGAATTACTCCTTTGATGTCCCACCAAATGCAAAGCATCACTTTCTGCGGATGGAATCCAGGTTTTGAGGGTCAGAAGTGGTTTTTGTCTAGGACTGAGGCATTGTTTTTGGCGTTTAATATTCGCATAGAGAATTCATTTTTCATCACCGGTGACAATTCTGTGCAAAAATAGTTCACGCGCATTATGCTACAGAAGAGACGAAGCAACGTTCACACGTTGGAAAAGATGATCATCGGGGAGTTCGTGAGGCACCCAAACACCTTCTTTATGGAGTTTTCCTACATTCCTTAGATGTATACGTATTGTTTCATGAGAAACATGCAATTTCAGGACCATTTCAAGAGTGTGTTGCCTTGAGTTAGACTCAACAAGCGTCTTCAGAGCATCTATATCAATTCCAACATGTCAGCCCCTGCCATCACAGTTTTTAAGGCTAAAGTCACCTGAACGAAATTTGCTGAACCATCGTTGACACCAACGTTCAAAGTATGTCCATAACTTCTTTGATATTCTTTGTGGCTAACAGAGGCGTTGTTTCCCTTCTTGTATTCAAAAGCATTACATGCCGAATGTGTGTCTCGTCATGTGCCATCACTATAAGGGATTAAAGTATACTAAATTTTACACATTATATAGGCTACACTAACGTGACGTTTAGGCAGTTCGTTTAACTATACTAGGTGATGTATGTTTTTTGGGGGGTGGTTAATGAAAGTGTTCCAAAACGCGACATTAATTTCTTG